AGGGCCCCTGTCCCAGTATGGTGGCTGGGTACAGCTGGGAGGAGGGAGGGCCCCTGTCCCAGTGTGGTGGCTGGGTACAGCTGGGAGGATGGAGGGCCCCTGTCCCAGTGTGGTGGCTGGGTACAGCTGGGAGGATGGAGGCCCCTGTCCCAGTATGGTGGCTGGGTACAGCTGGGAGGAGGGAGGGCCCCTGTCCCAGCATGGTGGCTGGGTACAGCTGGGAGGATGGAGGGTCCCTGTCCCAGTATGGTGGCTGGGTACAGCTGGGAGGATGGAGGGCCCCTGTCCCAGAGTGGTGGCTGGGTACAGCTGGGAGGATGGAGGGTCCCTGTCCCAGTATGGTGGCTGGGTACAGCTGGGAGGATGGAGGGCCCCCGTTCCAGAGTGGTGGCTGGGTACAGCTGGGAGGATGGAGGCCCCTGTCCCAGTGTGGTGGCTGGGTCCGAGGACAGCTGGGAGCACCCGGGGTCCCGGGCGCACAGGCAAGCCGAGGCCCCATGGGGACAAGCAGGATAGCAGCAGGCAGGATCCTTTCGTCGCATTTCTGCCATGACGTTGGAAGTCCCCACGTTGACCTGCTCCCTCCTGGGGCCCTGCAGAGGCCAGTGGGCGAGGGGACGGGTGCAGGTTTTTTACCTGGCTGCCCGAGGGCCTCGCCTGAGCCCTGCCGCTCCCCGACAGATCACCTTCCAGGTGAAGGTCACGGCCACAGAGTGCATCCAGGAGCAGACGTTTGTCATCCGGCCACTGGGCTTTACGGACACGGTGACCGTGCGTGTCCTTCCCCAGTGTGAGTGCCAGTGCCGGGACCAGAGCCAGGAACGCAGCCTCTGCCAGGGCAAGGGCTCCTTGGAGTGCGGCGTCTGCAGGTGAGGCAGGTGCAGGCGGCCACAGTGCCCCTCCCCCACCCGACATGGCAGGTGTGTGCAGGTGAGGCAGGTGCAGGTTGCCCAGAGCACCCCTCCCCCACTCCCCAGGCCAGGTGTCTGCAGATGAGGCAGGTGCAGGTTGCCCACAGCACCCCTCCCCTGCCCCACAGGCCAGGTGTCTGTAGGTGAGGCAGGTGCAGGTGGCCCACAGTGCCCCTCCATCATCCCACAGGGCAAGTGTCTGCAGATGAGACAGGTGCAGGTGGCCCCCAGCACCCCTCCCCCACCCCACAGGGCAGGTGAGGCAGGTGCAGGCGGCCCATGGTGTTCCACTCCACCCCACCTCTCGGGGCAGGTACCCCAAGGACCCCGTGCTGCAGTGGCAGGTGGAGGAGAACTGGGGTTTGCACCAGAGCCCTCTGCAAGCCCTTGCCCTTGCGTGGGCATCTGCAATGCCAGCTGCACTCCCCACGCTCGGCCACGGAGGGTCCACGGCAGGGGGACTGGTGGGCAGGGCCTCTCACCAGAGCAGGGAGACCCATCTCAGGGGCGCAAGGAGCCCTGCTGGATGTGCCTGGGGCAGGTGACTTTCTCTGCCCAGCCTCGCTTGTCCCCTGGGGGCCCACTTCTCTGCGACCTTGGGGACCCAGGGCCATCAGGCCGGCAGCCCTGGGGCCCCCTGCAGCCAGAAGGCCTCCCAGGACAGGTGACCGCTCCGGTAGCCCGGGCCCTGCAGGCCACCCCTGGGATGTGCACACACCAAGGCCTAGGGTGCACGGTCAGGAGTGGGGGCCCCGCCTCAGGGTGAAGGGAGAGCACAGGTGTGCCCAGCGGGGAGCTTTACATGACGAGGGCCAGGGCTGCTCCAGTGGCCACCCACAGGAGACTGAACCCCCCAGGATGTCCTCTTCCCACCACTGTCCACTGCTGCCCCCTATAAGGTCCTGCCTGCCCTGGGGTTGGACAGCAGTGCCCCCTTTCCCTGCCCCCACCTGCTCAGGAGCCCAGAGCCACAGTCTGTCTGGCCAGAGCTGCTGGGCGACCCGCAGGTGCCACCCTGTGCCCGGCCACCTTCCCCTCCTGCCTGCTCTGCCCGGCCACATCCCCGTGGAGGTGCCACTGACCCCCAGGCCCCGAGGCCCCACCGCCCCTCCTGCAGCCCAGCACAGTGTTGATCTCTGTGGCTGTCCCTGTACCCACCTCAGCAGCCACTCTGCCCGCCGTCCCAGTGTGCTGCTCTCGGGTGGCCTCCCGGAGGGATAGCGAGGCCGACTCAGTTGGAAGTTGGCTGTTGGCAGCGGTGCCACCGTGGCTCAGCGAGACGCTCTGTCCTGAGGCTTCCTCCTCCGGGAGGCAGGGCAGCCCACCGGGGGTCGTCTCTGTGGCTGCCAGGACGGTCTCAGCACCTGTGCGCCAGTGGCCTGGGACTGCTGTCCTTGCCGGATAGACCCTTGTCCCGGAATCCTCTGGCAACCTGCCCAGGCAGCACACAAGTCCCTGCCAGCCAGGTGGGAGCCTGGGGCACGCGGAAGCAGGCACTGGCCGTCGTGGAGCGCCAGGATCCCGCACGTGCCGTGTGTACAGCCTGGGCCACAGTGCGCAGTGAGCCGGCCGAGCCACCACCTCATGGCCAAGGTCACGTGTCTGCTGCCCTCTCGGACGTCCTCAGAGCGAGCCCGGCTCTCTCTGATGGGTGCCCGGGGCCGGCCACGTGCTCAGCGCGTGGCGCGTGCTCAGGAGGCCTTGGGCAGGAGCACGGCGTGCACAGCAAGTGTCCTCAGCCGAGGCCAGGCAGGCCCTGAGGGACGGGGACGGGTGGCTGTCCCAGATGGGGCCGGGGACGACCTCTGACGTCTCCCCCCAGGTGCGACGCTGGCTACATCGGGAAAAACTGTGAGTGCCAGACGCAGGGCCGGAGCAGCCAGGAGCTGGAGGGAAGCTGCCGGAAGGACAACAGCTCCCTCGTGTGCTCGGGGCTGGGGGACTGCGTCTGCGGGCAGTGCGTGTGCCACACCAGCGACGTCCCCAACAAGCAGATCTACGGGCGCTACTGCGAGTGTGACAATGTCAACTGCGAGCGATACGACAACCAGCCCTGTGGCGGCCCCAGTGAGCCTGCGGGTCCCTCCCTGCCCTGCAGGGCCTGGCGGGGAGGGGCAGCCGCTTCCTCTGCAGGCGCAGGCGTGGCCAGGGGGGCTTTCTTCTCCACGGCACTGGAGGCCACGCGTGGGAGCACAGAGAGGGATCATTGGGGCCGCAGGCGTGGCCAGGGGGGCTTTCTTCTCCAGGGCACTGGAGGCCACGCGTGGGAGCACAGAGAGGGGACGTGGGGGACACACGGACAGACAGCACATGGCTCGCTCAGGAGCTTGGCAGCAGGACCTCGGGCCACCCTCCACTCCGCCCTGCCTCAGTTTCCTCATCCCCATGGGGAGGGCCCCAAGGGGGGTGATAGTCCCAGGCCACTGGGGGTCCCAGTCACGGGGGGCATGTGGAGGCTGGACGGGCCAGGAGGCCACCTCGGGGCTGGGGGCGGGAAGGCCTGGCCGGTGGTCAGTTGCCATGTCTCAGCACTTCCACCCACCGCAGAGAGGCGCGGCCGGTCACTTTGCTGGGGCTGCAGGAGGGGCTTGGGCAGGCGGCGGGTGGGCCTCGTCCCTGGGCCTGGCAGGAGCTGAGCCTCCCGCCCCTCTGTCTTCCAGAGAGGGGCCTCTGCTTCTGTGGCAAGTGCCGCTGCCTGGAGGGCTATGATGGCTCCGCGTGCCAGTGCCAGCGCACCACCGAGGGCTGCCTGAACCAGCGGAAAGTGGAATGCAGTGGCCGCGGCCGGTGCAGCTGCAACCAGTGTGTGTGCCAGAAGGGGTACCAGCCGCCCCTGTGCCTGGAGTGCCCGACCTGCACCTCGCCCTGCAGCGATCACAGGTGAGTGCAGCGGGGGTGGGCAGCTCCCCACTGTGCAGGGCCACCTCCTGCTGCTGGGCTCCCCTGGAAGCACCCGAGCCTGCTGCAGGGCAGGGTCCCTACAAATGCCCCTGGACGGGGTCCTCTCCTCCTCCAGGTGCACATCTGTGGCCGGGAGCAGGTGGCCAGGCTCCTCCGCCCTGTCCCCACCTCACCCATACCCTGCCCTCAGCCATGCGGGTACCCTGACCCCCCTCATGGTGGGCACACGCCCAAGCCCCCCACGTGAGCAACCTTTAACCCCCTGCAGCCTCCCACACCTGCACCCCCCACACCCCTCTGGCCTCCCCGCAGCTCCTGTGCTGAGTGCCTGCGGTTCGACAAGGGCCCCCTCGAGAAGAACTGCAGCGCGGAGTGCAGGAACCTGCGGCTGCTGGAAGTCCCTGCCCAGAGCGGCAGGACGTGCAAGGAGCGGGACTCAGAGGGCTGCTGGATGACCTACACCCTGTGGCAGCAGGACGGGTGGGACCGCTATGACATCCACGTGGAGGAGAGCCGAGGTGAGGTCGGCAGGGCGTGGGTCCAGGGCAGGGGTCTCCGCAGAGGGAGACTCCAGGGGGCTGCAGAGGGAGGGTCTCTCTCCCACGGGTCAAGCAGGCCCAGCAGGCTGGGAGCCGTCCAGGACACCCTCGGGACACACGGGGAGACTGCAGGCTGGCCCTCCGCCCCCACCACCTCTCCTTGCCTCGCCGACCCCGAGTGGGGCTGGGGTAGCAGACGCCCATCCCCTGGGGACAGCGCCAGATCCCACCAGGGCCGGGCCTGCCAGAGCGACACGCAGCGAGGCTGGAGGGAAGTGGGGCTGGTCCGTGGTCGGCTGGCCCGTGGTCGGCTGCCGGAGGACCCCTGGCAGGGACTTGAACACCAGTGCTCAGTCTCAGTCCTGGAGAGGCTGAGGGGGCTGGGCACCAGTCTCCCAGATGCCACTGTGGGTTTTCAGAAGAGCGATGCATCGAGTGGGTGGCACATGGGGGAGGATTGGGGGCACAGGTGACAGTCCAGGGTCTGGGGCCAATAGGCAACATGGGAGGGTGGGGGAGGTCAGTCGGGAAGTCCACTGGGTGACAATGACAAAAGGTCAGGGACTCTGGGATGTGGGCTGAGCAGACACACGATGGGATGGGCTTTGAGGGTCCCCGCCAATTCCCACTCAGAGGCTGGGGCTGGGGAGGCCACTAGGGGACCCCAACAGGTGCAGGCCAGCAGCCCACCAGGAGGAATTTTATTTTTTGAGAGGGGGTCTCTCTGTGTTGCCCAGGCTGGAGGGCAGGGGCTATTCACAGGTGTGGTCATAGCTCACTGCAGCCTTGACCTCCCAGCCTCAAGTGATCCTCCTGCCTCAGCCTCCCAAGTAGCTGGGACCATAGGTCTCTCGCAGGACTGAGACCTGGGAGCATGCTCCCCCAAACTCCCTCCCCAGGATGGAAACTAAGGGGGGGCCTCAGGACCCCTGTGTGACACAGCTGGACCTCATGACCCACACATGGGCCACACTGCAGACTCTGTCTGCCAGGGCGACAACCCCTCCAGCTTGCTTCCGTGGACGGGTTCAGGTTCACGTCCGATTGTGCAACCTTGGCCAAGGTGACAGGAGGGAGCTGGGGACTGGGCCACAGGCTGGCACTGAGCGCGGGTGCTGTGCCGTGTGGGCAGGGGCTGCGGCAGGGTCAGGTAAGCCGCCATGGCTCCGGGACCCTCGGCTGCTCAGCCCCGCGGAGGCCTCCCCCTCCTGAGCGCCTGGCTCTGGTTCCTGCCGTTGGTGCTGAGGAACGCCTCCCTGGGGCAGACTCGTCCCTGCCAGTCCCGCTTCTGACCTCTGCGGTCAGAGGGCAGGGGTCCCTCAGGCACTGATTCCTCCTGGGTGTCGATCCTCTGCCCTGCTTGGCTGGTGACCTGGGCCCCACCTTCCTCTGTGTCAGATGGAACCACAGGGCCTGGCCTGTTGCGGGGGCCAGGGCCAGGTTCTCGTGGACGCACAGCCATGGTGGTCACGGTGAGCCGGGCAGAGGGACCCTCCCTCCAACCAAGTGCTGTGCGGTGACCGTGGACCGAGGACACACACGGGCCGGGTCAGAGAGGGAGGGACCGACGCTCTGGCCTGTGCTTCCTCCCTAGAGTGTGTGCAGGGCCCCAACATCGCCACCATCGTGGGGGGCACCGTGGCGGGCATCGTGCTCATTGGTGTCCTCCTGCTGGTCATCTGGAAGGCGCTGACCCACCTGAGCGACCTCCGGGAGTACAAGCGCTTCGAGAAGGAGAAGCTGAAGTCCCAGTGGAACAACGTAAGTGGCCGTCCTCGGGGGTCCCACATGGAGGAGGCACCTCCCACACTGCGACCTCTTGCCGAGGGAGGCCGTGGTCACCCTTGTGTGGCTGCAATGGCCATCCCTGAGCAGCCCTCCTGGGTGATGCCCGCCCGCTTCTGGCTCCTCCTCGAGGCTACGACTGCTACGTGGACCTAGTGGCCTCAGTGGGGAGATCCTGCCCTGAAAACCTCCCGCACCCACAAGTCCGTGTCTGCGTCTCTCACCAGGATAACCCCCTTTTCAAGAGCGCCACCACGACGGTCATGAACCCCAAGTTTGCTGAGAGTTAGGAGCCCTTGGAGAAAAGAAGGCTGCCAGGGCCGGCCAGGCGGGACCCCCCCAGCTACATCACCCCCATCCTGCGACCGTGACGCGGCAGCACCAGTTACCCACACATCCACTGTTGTTCCTGCCCCCGGCATGACAGATGTTTACACAGACTCCCCAGAAGGGACAGCACCCCCCAGCCACGGCACGGTCTCCCCAGACACGGGAGGAAGGACTGCGCGAGTCCTGTGGGGCTGGATCCTTGGGGCCTGCGTGAGTTAGGAGAGCAGTCTGATCACAGGTGTTATTTATATTTAAATTATCAGGACCTAAAACCACATCCCATTGATTATACTGTTAACCAATCATGTGCATACAGAAAAACAATACACAAACAAAAAAACAATAAAAACAACCCAAGCTGTCCACAGAAGCCGGTCTCTGACTGTGCTACGCTATGCTGAGTAACCTCCTGTGTGAGGGGCGGCTTCCGTTTTCTTTTTTCCTTCCTCATCTGCCTACAGAGCCCCTCTCTGAGCCCTCTGTCCCAAATTCTAGGTGGATTTCCGGAAATGACGTGGCGGCCCCACCAGAGGGGCCTGCAGGCCAGAGCAGGAGTGAGTGGGGAAGGGGGTCTCTCTCCCTCCTGTCCCACTGCCCACGCCTGCCTGCCAGGTGGGCCTGCTCTCGGGAGGATGGCCACGAAGAGAGTTTTAAAAGAAGCTCCTTTCTCATGGGTTGTTTGCTGGGGTGACCTGGAAGTCATCATCGGTCCCCTGCCACACGATCCCAGGTCATATGTGACTGTGTCGTGTGGCGGTATCCGAGGGTGACAGACCAGATGGGTAAATACCCACACGGG